CTCTCTCTCTCTCTCTCTCCCTGGCAGTCCTGGAACTCAATATGTAAACAGACTGACCTCAAACTCACAGAGATGCTGCCTGCCTCTTGCCTCTTGAGTGCTAGGATTAAAGGTATATGCTACCACACCCAGAAACTATCTAGATTTTGGAGTGGCATTTTTTTTTTACGATTTGCTTTGTTTTTCGTTATGTGCATGCGTCTGTGTGGGTGTCTGCACATGGTGCCAGTGCTCTTTGGAGCTGGAGCTGGTTGTAAGCTACCCAGTATAGGTGCTGGTGACCAAACTCGGCTCCTTTGCAAGAGCGGTACATGCTCTTCATTGCTGACCCATCTCTCCAGCGCTAGAATAGGCTGTTAAACGCAGAACTCTGCTAGTGTGTTATTTGAACAGAAACACCTTCTTCACAATCTTCAAATCAGGTTAATAAGTCCATGTGTGTTTTCTTTGGTTCTTTATGCGACGTTCGTCAAGGGAATTCAAGTTAATTTCCAAAGGAATGAACACACTGCTGGCCATTCCACCACTGGTCACTGAGTCTTTCTGTTCAAGGCTCTGGCCACATAAATGGCATCTACTCCACCAGGTGACAGCTCAGCCATGAGTTGAGTGAGGCAGACGCCTGGTGTAGCATGTTAGCAAGTTCAGGGACATCTGCTAGATGGAAACAGTAGCGACCCCAGGACGTTGGCCAACAAGCGTGCATCTGAAAGGGATCACACTTGCAGGGCACGAGGAACAGGGAGCAGCTTATGGCCCTTGGTGAGGAAGGGCTTGCTGTGTTGAGGGAAGACCCTGAGGCTGCTGGGGAAGTGAGAGCTGCTATTGAGGCCGGAGGTTTCGTGACCCGGGGTTATCCGGCCAGCGAGCATGGCGTAGATGTAGCACCAGGTTTCGTGGCCCATCTTCTGACCAGCGACACGGGTTGGTCAATGTCCCAGCCTAGTCTGTCACCTGTTTTATAAATGAAGTTTTTCTAGGACACAGCCCCATTCACACATTTCTGTCATGTTAGCTTGGGATGCTATTACTAAAGAACCAGGTCCCTCAAACAATAGATATTTCTCTCATGCCTCAAAGTTTCTATAATAAAAAACAATGTTCATGGACTCCCTCTCACTAGACAGCCCTGTCAGCTGGGGCTCACCCCTGTATCCTCACCTCCTACAGGCTGACTCCAGATGGTCACCTCTCAAGAAAGTTTCAGCCTGAAACTTTGTAGGGCGTAGATAAGTGCATAGCATGCTGCTGTGCCCGTGTCTCTAGAGAGGAGCGGCTGCTGACTGCCACCTCTGCCATCCTCATTTAGTTCTCTGAGTGGCACAACCACTTGGTCCGGTCTCGAGTATCCCATCCCTCCTGGGCAAAGGAGGATCCTACCTGAGATTAAGCCGACTCTGGGGCAGGGCCTAGCAGCTGATGTACACACACCTTATGAGATCTGCTTGGGAGCATCTTACAGGCCTCACATCTGTGGCCCAGGCATCAGCATACTGAACATAAGGCCGGCCATGTACTTCACTCGACCTGCCTCTCAAGTCCATACTTACGGATCCATGAGGGCGCAAGTACACTGAGACCAAGTGACCGGCCGTCCAGTGTCAGAGCCTACAGAGGTTACCTTACACTGTACTAAGCATGTGAAGTCTGCCATGAGCGGAAACGACAGCGGCTATACAACTGGCAGCTCACCCCCCTGTCACTGATGCTTGTGGCCAAGTTGTTGAAATGCAGATTTTTCTTGGTGGATTCTGTTTCTCAGATGTTCCTTCACACGCATCTGGGCAAGAAAAAGACTGTCCACCGAGCAGAGGGGCTCTGGGTTAGGGGCCTGGACAGGGTTCTCAGCTATAGCCCAGTGCTGGAACTCCCTTTGTGGATGTTCTAAACAGATGACATCATCCCAGGAGAGCCATCAGAACTAGGGTAGGAAGCACAGCATTCCCCAGGGGAGGATCCCGGGAAAGCCTGGGGTGGAGAGGCGAGGGTAATGCCCAGCACATGGCATTCCATGGGAGAGATAGGAGTCAGTCAGCGGTTACCCACAGCTCAGCTGGAAAAGACTGCTCTCCCTGAATGGCTTGCAGGCAAGAATCTAGGCAGACAGATTAAGTGCCCAATACCTAGGTTGTACCTGTCCCCTGTGGGCTCAACCTGGGGACTCTCCACCGGCTGTGGTGGTTGTTGGTCGGCATGACTATCACTGTACCACACACTGCTGCAGACTCAGTTATACCTGTGTAGACGGGCTGTGACACCAGGAATATCTAAACTTTGACATCACCAAGAGAGTCTGCATGGGCTGCTGGTACAGGCTTTGGGTGTCCAGGGCTGTGGCAGCCTATAGGACTTATGGCCAGCTGGCAGAAGAGACCCCCAGATGCTTTTCATGGCCTTAGGGGACATAAGTGACATCCAGGAATGTGGCGAGAAGAGGTGAGAGATCCACTGAAAGTCTGAGGCAGCTGTCTGATCTCTAACACAACCTCTGAGGACAGGTCCCTAGGAGGGAAGCTACACCACATGAAGCCAGAAGTAGAGGAGAGAGTTCCAGAGGGGTCAGGCATACCGCTAGAGAGGCTGGAGGGCCAGGCGGATGCATGCCAGAGTCTAAACTGCTTTGAGGAAGCATCCCCGTGTCTCAGGAATAAGAAACTATCTAGGAGAGAAAGGGAGCACCCACACAGTTGTGATTGTGAGCGAGTAAAGCAGAAACATGGTCTGCAAGGCTGCGGACAGACGGAGGCTGCGGACAGACGGAGTGTACTGAGCGGTTGACTCAGGGCAGAGCCTCCCATGGGGAAGCAGGCCTCCAGGTACCAGTGTTTTCCTGAGAAGATGACAAAGCTCCAAGCGGGCAGACACTCCCACCTGCAGCCGCCTGTCCCTCTCTGCAGGAACAGGGGACAAAGAGAAGCAAGGTGCACCCCACTGGTTCTTCCCTATCTGAGCCAAGTGAGAAATGACAAAGACTATGTAGGTGTGGGACAGTTCCCAACTCTTTCTCGTGGCCTGATGGGGGAGGGCTGCTGTGTCTCCCTCTCTGCCTAGAAGAGGAACACAGCTTGCCAAAGCACTAAGAAGGGCATGGGTTTTAGTTTAATCCTCTACAAGAACAGGTTTAATTAGAATGGTAGAGGTGTAGACTTACAGTTGCGAGCTATCCGGACCCTGTTCTGAGGCGTCTTGTCTCTGTCTCCCACAGGGCTTCATGTGTTCCCCACCTTTGTGATCTATGAGTTGACTGTGCTGGTATTCCTCACGCTGTCCGTGGTCATCATGAAGGTATGAGGCTTTCTCCTAGAACTCACAGCTGAAGTCTCACACGTATTACACAGGAGAGCACTTCTCATTAGTCCCCATTTCCAGCCAGCAGCTGCATAAATCCTGCAAAGCCCCAGTGGCACTCGTGTCTACAAGTGCCACTGTGTGGAGACACTGCTGACCCATACCCTCCCAAGGGGGCAGGTCTGGGCCAGTAGTTAGGCTGTCAGGATGATGTGTTATGTCAGAACTGGGGTGTTGGGAATTGCCAGGAGTCAGGTCAGGGAGCATCTTTCTAGATCTGCAGGCTTGTTCCGAACAAGTCTAAGGAGCAGCCCGTGCCTCCTCCCTGATGGTGGTGTATGTCAGCACACAGGAAATCAAGTGGACATTTTCAAATGGCCATCCACGTGGCCACCAATCAGTGTGTTGCCTGTAGTGATGCCTAAGTCACAGAGTGACTGCCTATTTAGCAGTATCTGGTGAGTCGCTAGTGCTGAGCTGCCCACCAGTTCCTGGCTGCTCACCGGAGACCGTCTCTCGTGTGGACTGGATCTTCCTCTTGACCACTTAATATTTAATGCTATCCATTCAACTCGCTGGGGGAAGGCTTACTTTCTGTCAATGAATCCAAGCCTTTTATTTTGCCTTCTTGTTCTAGATGAATTTGGTAGTTTATCTATTTATCTTGTGCCTTCCGGGTGGGTATCTGATGTGCCACTGTGCGTGCCTTCCTAGTTGGTTTGTGACTAGAAGCAATGGTAGCCATTGATGGTCTTTTTCCATCTCGGTTTTGTATTATGAGAGCGATTTTGTCCAGCCTCTGGTCACGATTAGTGATTCGATAAACTATTCTCACAGTTTGTGTTGGCAGTGCTGGTCTTGTCTCTCATCCTGCCAAGGAGCAGCCAGTACATCAAGTGGATCGTATCTGCTGGGCTGGCACAGGTCAGCGAGTTCTCCTTCGTTCTGGGGAGTCGAGCACGGAGAGCAGGCATCATCTCCAGAGAGGTGAGAGTCTATAACCTGACTGAAGTGAGAGCCCTGTGGAGCACGGAATGCTTCAGTGCAAGCAGTTAGGCAAAGAGTGAACACCCCCCAACACGCCCTCCGCCCCTGACTGACTTGGTAGTTGAGGCACACCAGGCTCAGGGCAGCAGCACACTCTCAGTGTGCACTAAGCTGACCCGGAAGGAGGCCTTTGGTGGAGTCATGGAAGCTGGGCCTGGCTGCTTCCTCCTCATAGAAGGAAGATGTTGGATTTCTTAGGTGGAAATAACTAGTTAATCCTGCTGTTGTCTTTTATATTTGATCTTAGTCCAAAGGCCAAGAAGTGATGCCATTCTTCTTTATAGCACTATAATTAACAGGCTGATATCTGCTGGGACGGGCTGTTATCTTGACCCTACAATAGAGGCTCCCACTGACACACAGGGAGGCCTGTGGAACATCTGCAGTCTCTGTGTAAGGAGTGTGAGGAAGCAGCAGTGTCAGGGACACAGTAGGAGCACTGTGGAGGTTTCTAGTGAATGAATGAGGCATCACTGAACCGGATGCAGAGCTGCATCATGGGGAAAGGATGGGTCCAGTCTGAGTCCCTTTGATGTGTGAGGCCCCTAGGGCTCACCTTCAGGCCAGCAATGAAACTAGGCTGCTCCCCTGGAATTTACCAGAACTTACCACAGCTTCCCATCAGAGGTCAAATCCTACCCAGTTCTTCCCACTACAAATGTCTTCTGGCCTGTGGCAGAATTTCCCCTCTCTTTAAAGATGGCTATGCTTCCGGTTGACAGCATACCTCCCAACACTCAATGGGACCACACTCTCAACGTGTGCTACTCAAGGTGTCCTCTGAACATGCAGGACCTCCTGATGCTCAGTGAGACACGTAGGCTGTATGCTCTACCTCCTGGAACTCTGGTGACTGTGCCCGTTTGCCTGTTGCAGGTGTACCTCCTTATCCTAAGTGTGACCACACTTAGCCTCTTACTTGCCCCAGTGCTGTGGAAAGCAGCCATCACCAAGTGTGTGCCGAGACCAGAGAGGCGGTCAAGTCTCTGACAGCACGAGATGACCACAGACTGTGGGGCGGGGATCCTTCCCTGGGGGTTTCCAGTCCTGAGATGGTCGGCTGCTGCACCTCTCCGCTGGCTTCCCATCAGAGACAGAGTAACACCGACCAAGGGGCAGAGTCCTATGCTTGCTTGCATTTTAAAAGACTCTCCTGTCATGTTTAAGAATTTTCCAGAGTAATTTATTTGCAGTCAGTTGATTATGTACAGAGTTTTAACACTGCATTTTACAATCACCTGAACTATTTTGCCTGGATGTGCCTTTTTTAATGAAAAGTATTAACTTCCACTTGTTAATTTATCAGCTTATGATTTTTGGTAAAGAAGAAAAAGTTGCAAGCCATTTTATTTATTGTACAATTATAATCTGTTGGTCAAATATTTGTTATTAAACATAATAGCAATATAAAATTTTAATTTTATTTTTGAGCTTGGAAACTTACTTTTGATCTTTAAAACTTCAATGTCCTCTTGCTTCTTGTAGCTATTTTAAATAAAACATTTTCATGTTGATTTTTATTAGTTTCACTTTTAAGATACTTGATTTTGAATCACAGGAATATGAATTCTTAAATAAAGACCATTTATGACCAGGGTATAATTATTTGGAACTTACTGAGCATCCCATTTTTTTAAAAAAATTTACTTATTTTTATGTGGTTCTTTGACTGTGTGCGTGTGTGTACATGAGGGTGCCAGATCCCCAGGGACTGGGGTTGTAGTTATCAGCTACCATGTGGGTGTTGGGAACTGAACCTAGGTGCTCTGGAAGAGCAGCCAGCCCCCTAACCCACAAGCCATCTCTCCAGCCTCCAACAATCTCAAGTTTTAAGTTAGATTTTTGGTGTTGAACTAATTATTGACAAAATCTAGCCAATGTTTTTTTAATTTTAGATTTACTTGTATGTATGTATGTATGTATGTATGTATGTATGTATGTATGTGCATTACGTGTGTTCCTGGTGTCTGAGGAAGTGAGAAGAAGGAGGTTGGTTGGATGCCTTGGACCTAGAGTTATGGGTGATTGTGAGATGCTGTGTGAGTGTTGGAAACCAAACCTGGGTCCTCTCCAGAACAATGGGTGCCCTTAACTGCTGAGCCATCTCTCCATCCCCCACCAATGTTTTTTTTATAGGGATCATTCATATGTCATCATATAGTTCTTTTTTTTTTTTTATGCCATCATATAGTTCTTAAAGACCAAATGAATGCATTTCAAAGATGTTTAAGTTCTAACTTTGGAATTTAGTTGGTATATATTTTTTAAAAGATTTATTTATTTTATTTATGAGTGTACTGTAGCTGTCTTCAGACACACCGGAAGAGCGCATCAGATCTCATTACAGATGGTTGTGAGTCACCATGTGGTTGCTGGGAATTGAACTCAAGACCTCTAGAAGAGCAACCAGTGCTCTTAACCACTGAGCCATCTCTCAAGCCCCCATAGCTGGTATATTTTTGTTATCAGGTACCCTAGAAATGAAGACCTGACTCTTGCCTAGGTTCTCCTGAGGGGGTGGACAATCTCTCCATGGTCCTGTACCTGGATCCTCTGTTGGGAACTGGAATTTGCTCCTAGTTTTGGATGCTGAGAAGCACAAGGTCAAAGCTGGGAAGGCTCTGTCCTTCAGCCTCTGGGATGGCCCCTGGGGCTGCATGTTGTAGAGTATTTCAAGGAGTGAGGAAAATAGACAGCCCACTCCCAGGGGCTTGTTTATAATTAATGTAACCCACCCACGAGGGTGAGTTCTCTCTGATTGAAACTCTTCTGAGCCCACCCTCCCAACACTGTTGTATTGGGGATTAAAACTTGTAGCACCTGAAATCTGGGTCTGGAAACGTTCACACATAGTAGGTGTTTTATTTTTCAGTTGCGTACATGTTCTATTTTAGTTGACAGTTACAGTTATATGTGTGTATACTGTGTACAACATCGCTGTTGCTTTAAACAAGAATTCCTCTGTAAATACCGGTTTTCAGAGCAGGACAAATTGACCGTATATTCTGAGGTCGAGGGACCGAGTATGAGGTGTGATTATGTATTTTATGTGTGCATATATGGATTGCATTAATGTAAATTGAAACCATTGAAGTCGATTGAAATAGACTGTTTTCTCGAAGTGTAGAACAGTAGAAGCACAGGCTTTCAGAAAACGATGGTGCTCTCCTGAGTGGTGTCAGATGGCTGATTCCATCACCGTTCCCACCAGTGTGCTTGGGAGATGCTAAAGGAGCAAGATACCCTGGCACGGCTGCTGGCCAGAAGTGCCTACAAGGTTCTGTGACATTTGAGGGAGGCAAAGATTGCTTGGAGACTGCCTGGGAAGGGACAGTGTCAGCGACTCTGGACAGAGAACTCAAGGATGTCAGTTTCGATGCCTTCCAGGAGCTAGGCCATCAGCTGCAGGGTACCAATGCTTCAGAGCACAATGTACTCATGGAAGTTTTGCTGAGGTAAAATGCAGTTCCAGGTGTGGAGGGAGATGCATCCAAGATGCCATGATCCCAGAAGATATGGCAGTGGGACTGGGAAGGATACCTGTTTTCCCTGGCTCTTTCACCAGCCCACATCAGCCATGTGTGGTCTGCATGCTGTACACAGGTCACGACAGGGATGGACTGGTTCAGAGTCAAAGATCTCTTCCCGTCATGTACTTGGACAGGTCTGGAATAGCTGAGGGGACAGAACTGACATACAGACTCACTAACCTTCTTGAAGTTGGTTCTAGAAAAACCAAGGCTCTTGGAGCACCTGGAGAGTCCATTAAGAAGATGAAGAGGAAGAGATGTATGCAGAAAGGCCTGGGTGGAGCTGACTTCAGAATGGGATGTAGGGAAGGAAGATGGCTGGAGTCACATTCCTATTGTGTCCCCAGGGCCTGATGATGACAACAGGAACCCTCACAAAGGGCTTCATGTCCCTGCAGGGGAAGGGAAGATAGGATAGAAGGAGTTGTGGCTAACACCTCTAGGTAGAGAGGAGACAGTGCCCAGAACAGGAGGACCCTTGCCTGGAGGGGAAGATGCTGAAATAAAACACAAGACAGTGTCCAGGGATGTCTCCTACCTAGCTGGACTGGGCCAGTCCCTGTTGTAAGGATGGTAGTAAGGATACTGCTTTACACAGGAGGAAGTGAAGGAGACTTAGACCATTCATTGAATGGGATTTACGGTGTGATGACGTCACAGAGAGGGAGGCCAATGGGCACAGATTATCCCAGCTGAACACAGATAGCGTCTGATATTAAATTTTCCTATCTTTATGATGTTGAACTTTTATTGGGAATTCTTTTTCCCAAAAAGTTAATTCTTGAAAGGTAGATTATAGGCACCTTCCAGAGGTATTTTTATTTATTTATTTAGACATAGTGCTTCTCTATGTAACAGCCCTGGCTGTCCTGGAACTCACTTTGTAGACCAGACTAAACTCAAACTCACAGAGATCCTCCTGCCTTTGCCTTTTAAGTGCTGGGATTAAAAGCATGCGCCACCCTGCCCAGCTAATATTTCGTGATTATTTGTTTTTATTTTTGTATGTGCGTTGGTGTTTTGCCTGCATGTATGTTTGTGTGAGTACCAGGTACCCTGGAACTGGAGTTACAGACAGTTGTGAGCTGCCATGTGAGTGCTGGGAATTGAACCCAGGTCCTTGGGAAGAGCAGCCAGGGCACACTGCAGACATAAGAGGTCCAAGGCCTAGACGGAAACTTGCCCAGACTGTGGTGAACTGACTGAAAATGGAGGCTGACTGAAAGGGGCGGGCTTTTGTGATTGGCAGCTCTGATCTACCTCAGCTGGTACTCCCTAGCATCATGAAGAGCCAGCCTTGCTATGGTCCTGCAGGACTGCTAGTTCTCACGTTCCTTGTGCATCTCAGCCAAATGACTGTGGTCTGTTTGTCCCAAAAAGTGCACAGGACATCGCTGTGGGAGCTAAATCTCAGGGCTGGATACCAAAGACTTCCAAACAGATACTTTTGGATAGCTACGCCCACCCCATCAAACAGAGGGACACGTTGATCTGGGAGTTCACGTAAGACTCGTTCCCAGTTTTTTCTACCCTTCTCCTTCACAACACCAAAGGGAGCACAAGTGAGTGCAGAAGAATTTCTTAATGTTTTTGATACTTTCCTGCAGTGTGTTGTAACTATGAGAACATAGACACGTGACCTTGACATTGCTGCCCCTTTGTAGGTGTCAAGTAGAACAGAGAGTTCTATTTTCAACTTTTCAGGAATGCGTTTGACCCAATTCTCAGGTCTGAAATACCTTCATGTTAGCTAATTAGGATACAATATAACTCTGAGGTTCCATCCTGCAGTTACTTCCCCTTAATACTGTGGATTTCTCCCACCCAACCATTGTTTAGACTGATACACACAAACAGTGTAACTCCCTTTCAAAGAAGGCTTGGAGTTTCTGATTAACCAGACACAGTTTTACCATCCCACCCAACAAGCACCCACTCTGGCATTTGTCCACGGGAACTGAGAGCAAATTTGTGTCCCTATAACAATCTGTGCATGATGGTTTAGAGCAGACTTTCCTTATTGCCAAAACTCAGCCCAGAACCCTTCAGACAGTCTGTGAGCGCATCCAGAGCATGGGACACGCAACAGTAAACAAAGAGTGACTGGGTTGTGAAAATACCTAAGGGAACTTTAAATGACGATGAATGTAGAAGCCAGTTCAACATGTCTCATTTCGCCTGTGACACTCCGAAAAGGACAACACTGTGGGGACAGAAGAAAGTCGGTGGTTGAGGAGGCCTGAGGGTGGTGTGTGACGGTGGACAGGGGGTTGACAGAACACAGAGGACTTTTAGGGCAGTGAATCTATTCAATGAAACTTCAGTGGAGGTAGAGATGGTCCCACCCCAGTGTGTTTTTCCCAACTCAGAGTGTATAATAAGATTAGAACTTGCCGGGCTCTGGGCGATGGTGGTGCACGCCTTTAATCCCAGCACTTGGGAGGCAGAGGCAAGTGGATTTCTGAGTTCGAGGCCAGCCTGGTCTACTGAGTGAGTTCCAGGACATTCAGGACTACACAGAGAAACCCTGTCTCGAAAAAACAAAAACAAACAAACAAACAAACAAAAGAACTTGCCGGGCTTGTGGGGGCGTACCTTTAATCCCAGCACTCTGAAGGCAGAGGAGGGAGATCTCTTGAATCTGAGGCCAGCCTGTTCTATATCGCCAGTGTGAGAGCAGCATACTGTCTCAGAAAAACAAAACAAAAGCCAAAACCAAGAGTAGGATCTGATATAAACTATGAATTCTTGGTGATAATTATAAATCATTGTAGGCTGTTTCCCTGGGTAGGATGGATGGCCGTGAGAATGTAGTTTAGCAGTGTGCTTAGCATGTTCAGAGTACCAGATCCAATCTCCGATGCTGCCATTGAGAGAGCAAACAAGCAGGACATGGTTACTGCTCTTGAGATGGCAGTCTCACTATGTTGTCAAAGCTAGGCTTGAACTCACAATCCTCCCACCTCACATGAGTACCTAGCTCATAAAAAAACAGACTGCCAAGTTTATCCAAAAATGCAGAGACTTTTTTTCGAGATATCATGGAACCTACGGGGTAGTTTGAAGATGGCCAACTTCCAAACCTATCAATGTGGTTTGTATCCATATTTTTATTTAGATTTT